GAGAGAGAGAGAGAGAGAGAGAGAGAGAGAGAGAGAGAGAGAGAGAGAGAGAGAGAGAGAGAGAGAGAGAGAGAGAGAGAGAGAGAGAGAGAGAGAGAGAGAGAGAGAGAGAGAGAGAGAGAGAGCTCCTTCCAGCGGTGTTGTGTTTCCCATTACATACTTCGCTGCGTCCGCAAGGAAAAATCCATGCTTCTCGAACCATTTCAATTCCTTCCTTTCTTTAATTCGTGGCCGTGACGACACGGGGTCGAATCTCGCGGATCCCTCGTCGGGCGCGAATGTTTACGGCTCCGTGCAGTGGCCAGCCGCGTGCACGGGATTCGGACTTTCCTCTGATCGCCCGTCCAGATGTTCTCCGTATTGATAAACACCAACAACCGGATAACGAATTCCCGAGACGCTGGTGTCGACCGACGCACCACGTTAACGGACCCACGGCTATCGGCGACCATAAATCACCGGGGGCCGTGTTATCGGGCGAAAAGTGTGTTTGCTCGGGCCGCAGTTGTTGCGACCGATGTAAACAGGCCTCGGTCGTTATCGCGTTTGCCGAACCGGGAGAGCGCGTCGACGTTGACGAGAAAAGGGAAACGGTGGAACGGAGTACAGATCGAAGGAAACGGCGTGAAATGTCAGGTCGGAGAGGAAAGAGGCGACGGTAGACATTGTCGAAAGTCTGATAATCGGATTAAGGACACGAGCCGTGGCTCTCTGACGCTTTGACACGGTTTTCCGGGCGCGTAAAGGGAAAAGATCTCGTTACGCGGGACAAAGACCGGCTCGTTAGAGGAGTGCCGCGACAAGGAACGAGCAACGGGGCAAGAAAAAGCGATTATCCGATTCCGCGTCGACCACCCATTCGACTTCTTGACGGCAGGGCCAAGGTGCTCGAACCGCCGACACAGGAGATAATTAGATCGTCGGAGCGACGGAGGGGGTCACGTCGACGTTGCTCTTCTCGATGTTGATTCATTCGAGTCCACCGGATCCATTTCGGGGAGGGCAGTCCCCCGTTTGAATTCGCTTCGACGCGAGACTAGAAGTAAATAAGGGAACCCGGTATAGCCTCTGTACAGGATGCTTCACGAAACCTGGCCCTGGCTAACAAAGTACTGAACATTCACTGGTCCAACTACGAAGATGACGTTTACCTAAACAATTATCCCCTGTGCCAAATATGGTCTCTTATAACCTCGATGCAACCTTGCAGCAAATGATTTTTAAAAAAATACGTTGTTCGATAAAGTTCTTGTCTCCCGTGAAAACACAGAAAGAAGTGTACTTGTTTTGTAAGACCAAGTCTAGTTCAATTTCATTGTTATATGTTTGCTATTAATATTACGATTACGACAAACTCTGACTACTTTACTCCAACGATTAATTTAATTATTTATCTTCACGTTTCGAAGAACAAAATAAGATTCTTCTTTAGGATAAATTAATTTTAATACGTTCTATGATTGTCTAGCCAACCATCTAAATAGTCTGTAATAAAACATGAAAACACAGAAGGAAAACGCAATCACTTTTGGACCAACAAATTAACGACGAAGTATCTACGACGACTCCTGTCTGTGTCCTTCTTTAACAACAATATGCAACTACAGTTTTCGTCGGTACGCAGAAGCGTGCAACACAAACACGGAAATATACGGAATGTACATTACATAATGCTCTCGTTCTCTGTCTGTAATAGTTCCAAAGCCGTATCTCAGTCGCATGGGATGCCTTACACGTCGAGCTTCCGACGCGATCGTTTCAGAAATTGCAGGACAATGCATGGTCAATCCATGCAACACGCAAACAGCGTTCAGCGATATGGTGCATTGATGCATACGCGACTGCTAATGGGAGACTATTCGCACACCTACTATGAACCAATACAATAACTCAAAGCGGCTGAATTTCAGAAACCATAGGTTCGCAAATCCTCGCGCGTCGAGATTGTTCTCTCGGTTCTGAAACGTGGAATTCGGATGTAGAGAACGTTGCTCGAAAGTTGTCTTGTCTGGTGAAAAGAAACGTACAGGATGTCCTATTTAAGTTGTTATTGTACAAAATCTCGAAGACATGTGATCCAAAAAAAAATAAAAAAATAAAAAAAAAACAAATTGACACGTGTTTTTAGTGTCTCGAGTGAGGAGTCAGACGAAACTACTTGTTTCTTAACGCGCGAGGTTTTTCTATTGTCACGAATGCTAAGCTTGGATTAACTTCGAAAGACCCTTATCCTTAATTGAGAGATCCTTAATTTGAGAGTTGAGAATCAGGTCACCTTTGCCTCAACGAAGATCATTTTACCGGCAGTTCGAGTTCCAAAGAAGTTAAACCTAAAGAATACCTAGCGGTGACTGGAAGTCATCTCTGGAGTGCGAACTTGCGAATGGTTAATAAACTACAATTTCACACAAAACTTTTAGGGAAACTAATTAGTCCACGAATACATTTTACACCCCACTGTGTCTCTCTTTATAACGAGACAAGAGTCTTTGTACCTATCGCCACTATTTACCATACATCAGTCCAATCGAATCGATAAACTGACTACTTTTTTCGCACCGTGACTACAAAATCGTTCCTCTGTGTCCAGGTTTAATAAAACCCTTAATAATATCCCCTTTATTGGCGGGAGGAGCTTCGCTGTGTCGCTTCTCTAGTAATTCGGCAAAGTGGCTTAAACGCGTTCGAAACCCGCGAAATGTTCGAGGTCGTTTCGCGGGATTGTTTGCATATTCAAAAATCTCCACGCGAAATTGTTCGCAAATTCCTTTCGGCACATGGCGCCCAACGGTCTGGCATATTAGCAGAATTTCGCGTCGCGGATGTTCGATGGCACTCGACAACGATTCGTGTCAACGACGCGACGCCGTTGTTACTCCGATTCGAGTGGCTTCGCTCTCGATCACAAATTCGGTGTGCCGATGTAACGTTCGCGGTGGACAACTTTTGTAATAGACAATTTCGCGGCCGAACGCGAACTACGAAACCCGTGTTTACGAGGTACATGTTTACGTTGGCCACGTTGTTTTTAATCCAGAGCGAACGAGAGGTTCTTAATGTAATTGAGATCCAGAAATTGAGTAGCAGCTGCGCGATATTAATCCTTTGACTGCTGTACGATTTTCGCTGAAAATTCTGAGAGGCGTGGTGGTGCGAATTTAAAAAAAATATCAGCTCATAGGAGACGATAAGACGGAACATTTTTATATTTATAGTTTATTCATTGGGACGTTTAGTTTCGAAAATAAAAATTCACAACTTAAAGGAGATCTTTATTCTGAGATCTCGCAGCGATCCTGTTGTTATTATCTTGAAGATAGAAAACAACAGTCGAACATTCGAATTAGAAAGAAATATCACCTTATAGAGAATGACAAAACGAAACTTTTTTATGTAATTTTATATTTTTTATATTTTATATTATATTTTTTATATAAATCCAATTCCAATGGTAAACTCAAGCTTGACTTTACAATCATGGTAACGTACGTTTTCAAAATTAGTTAGAACGTCCAGAATACCAAAACACATTGCTACAGCAGTAACTTTACTGTTTGCTACAAATTGTTTGCCCTTTATTGCAAAAACATTCGTTGTAAAATGGTTAAAGTATGCGAGGATTATACGTGACACTAATCGTAAGCAAAGTT